CATTTTGAGTACCTTCCAACCTGAGGGTCTCATTTTCCAACACTATATCTGACAGTGTTTCACTGCTGTTCATAAGGTTTTCAGTGACTAAATATTTGGAAGTAGTTCATCACTCCTTCTTCCTAATCTGTCTTTGTCTGGAAGCTCATCTGAAACCTGTCCACCATGGGTGACCCTGCTGGTATTTAAAACACCAGTGGCATAGCTTTCAGAATCACAGCAATTCACAAGCCACCACAGTACGACAAACTGACAGACCAGTGGTGGACTATGTTAATTGTGTTATTGTTAAGTGCTGTTGAGTCGATTCCTACCCTTAGCGACCCTGTGTAGGTTTTCCAAGGAGCAACTGGTGAGCCTGAACCACCAACTTGCAGTTCAAATGGCTTTGCAGTCTGGCGCATTAACCCACAGCGCCTGGGGGAAAGTTCTATAAACTGCTTAATGTGGAAGGTAAGTCCCTGAGAGCATGAGTTGGAGGAGATAAAGGTAATAAAAGATACTCTACCATGAATATTGAAAGTACCATGGATCTCAAGAAGAACAAACGGATTTGTCTTGGAAGAAGTACAGACAGAATGCTCTTGGAAGTGAGGATGACGAGATACATCTTCTACCATACTTTGGACATGTTATCAGGAGGGAACAGTTCCTAGAAAAGGATCGGTAAAAAAGAGGAAGATCTCCAACAACATGATTGACACCATGGCTGTAGCAGTGGTCTTAATCATAACAACACTTGTGAGGAGGGTGCGGGTCCTGGCAGGGTTTTATTGTTGTCATAGGGTCGCTATGAGTCATAGTCAATTCCAACATCCTAACAACAACAGAAAACTGCTCTACAGGTGAAATAAAACAAAAATTCAGCAGAGGCAGAAATTATAAGTCAAAATGACCATGAGAATGTAAACTCTGAAGAATTGTTAGAAGATCTGAGCAGTACACTATGCTTCTCATGTGACGTGGAATATACCAGAAAGAGCTGCATCCAGTCAGTGTGCAAGGATATGGATTCTGTCTCAGCCAGGCACAGACTGATGTCAAATAATATTAGCCTCTATGCCCTTGAAGCCAGATTGGGGCTACTGTTAGCAAATTTTCATATAGTTGCAAAATCTTAAATCTAGTTTAGAAATTATTGTCTAGCCCTCATTCCTCATTCAGGGTGAGGAAATTCAGGCACAGAGTTTAAATGTGGGCTGACTGCAGAATAACTCTTTATAAGTGTAGATAAGGTCTGTTGTTATTGTTGTTAAGTACCATTGAGTCAATTCCAACTCACAGAGACCCTGTATAGGGTTCAGAGGAGCAGTTGATGGGTATGAACAGCCCACCTGTGGGTAGCAGTCCAGTGTTTATCTTCCAGCACCACACCAGGACTCCAGTTAAGGTTTATATTTTGATAAATATAAGAGACATGTTAACATTACTGAAGAAGATGGCACTCTTATTCAAAAATAAAAGATGAATATTTCACTTACTATCAAATGTGAGTTCTGTGGCTCTGTAGGATAAGCACTGTACTACTAACCACAAGGTCAGTAGTTTAAGCCCACCCGCTGCTCACAGGATAAAGATGACTCTTTCTGCTCCTGCAAAGATTCACAGCTTTGGAAACCCTATACAGTGTTACTATGAGTCGAAACCAACTTACAACAATAACCGAAGAGACCAGTTCAAATGAGCAAATAATCACCATTTATGATTAAAGAGTTAACTTAGAGAGTAATTTTTTTGTAATATATATCTTGACTATTTCAATAACTTCTTTATTTAAATTTACTCATAAGTACATATTGACTATCATCTGGAGAATTATTTGTAAACCCAAGCTCCACTACTTCCTGTGTGTATGATTTTGAGCAAGTTTTAACTTCTGTAAGTCTAAGAGCTCTGAATTTATAGGGTCATTTGAAGTACGATATTTGAAACATATTAAAACACACAATAAATGTTAATTTGATGTTGTTGCAGATTTTCAGTACACACATTTTTAGGGGAGTGACCTAGTTCACACAAAATTAACCTTATAGTTTTTCTTTGACCAGCCAGGGAAATGCCCAGGAGTTTGCTGCAAACTTAACAAGTGGCCTTTCAAGGTTGTTAGTGGCTCTAGTTCAGATTCTATTTCCAAAGTTTTTAAAACTCTGTGGCCTTTTACTTTTTCCAAGAACAAGTCATATTCATGGATATTTCATTTTAACTCTTGAGATTTCTATGTTTTGGTCCTTTTTTCAATTAGTATATTGTTGTTGTGAAGTGCCATCAAATCAGTTCTGACTCATAGCAACCCTGTACGGGGTTTCTGAGGAGAGCTGGTGGGTTTGAACTGCTGACCTTTTGGTAGCAGTCCAGTGGTTATCCTGCAGTTCCTCACCAGGACCCCACTAAAGGCAATTAGTGACCGTACTACATCTCTGACTTTCTTGTTAGTATCCAAATCCTGACTTTATTTCCTTGTAAAACACACAGGACATAATCTCCTCAGGTAACTATAGTCAGTGGTGAGTCCCATTCACAGGAGAGCCTTTTGAAAGTACTATTGCTCATTGCTTTTCCTGTTGGCTGCTTATCTCAAAGTTTGTACTTTCTTCCATTAATTCCCCTAAAGCTGGAAATCAGGCCTAAGTCTTTCAGTCTTACTGAAGTTAATGTTGACTTACACCCACTTGGAGAAGCAACTCAGAGCACTTGGCCTAGAACCCCAGATTTCTCTCTCCCCCAAGCATCCAAGACCCCTAAAATAGTTTGAACCCATTGTTGCTGCCACTGTCTCAACCCATCTCATTGGAAGTCTTCTGCTTTTTCACTGACTCTCCACTTTTACAAATATAATGTCCTTTTCTCAGGACTCATCCCTTCTGACAACATGTACAAAGTATGAGAGATAAAACCTCACCATCCTCGATTTTAAGGAGCATCCTGGCTATACTTCTTTCAAGACAGATTTGTTTTTTTTCTGGCAGTCTATGGCACATTTAATATTATTCTCCAACACCATAATTCAAATGCATCAATTCTTCTAAGATATTTCATATTTATTGTCCAACTTTCACATGCATATGAAGCAATTTAAAATACCATGTTGTTATTGTTGTTGTTAAGTGCTGTCCAGTTGGTTCCAACCCATAGCGACCATGTATAGGGTTTCCAAAGAGCAGCTGGTGAGCTTGAACTGCTAATCTTGCAGTTCAAACTGCTTTGCAGTCTGGCGCATTAACCCACAGTGCTACACCAGGAATACTAGTCCTCAAACGGATGTCTTTGTTCTTTAAAGCTGTCAAGAGGTCTTTTGCAGTAGATTTGCCTAATTCAGTGTGTCATTTATTTCTTGACTGTTGCTTCCCTGAGTGTTGATTATAGATCCAAGCAAAAGGAAGTCTTTGACGATTTCAATCTTTTCTCCATTTATCATGATGTTGTTTATTGATCCAGTTGTGAGGATTGTTATTTTCTTTAAATTGAGGTGCTATCCAACTCCATATGGAATTTGGTAATGCATCGATACATCACCTAGGTTATTTCTATTAATGACCACTGATACCTGTATGTTACTAGAACTTCTACTTCTTAATAGAGTTAATACAAAACTAGTACAGTAGATGCCTGGTGTGGCACTGTAGGATCAGCATTGGACTGAGAACCATAGTGTCAGCAGTTCAAACCCACCAGCTGCTCCTCAGAAACCCTATACAAGGTTGCTATGAGTTGGAACCGACTAGATGGCACTTAACAACAAATATACAGTATATAAATTCATGTGCTTATTTATTTTGTATATATTTAGCACTTTGACTAAATGTACGAGTAAATTTTTTCACAATTTCAAAGTAAATTGATTGATGATCCTCTACTCAGGGGAAATTGTGGTATTTCATCATAAGTAGTGCACAGTAAACGATCCTAGAGGCACAGTAGATAAGCACTTGGCTGCTAACTGAAAGGTCTGTGGTTTAAACTTATCAGCATTCCTTGGTTCAAGTCCACTAACCACTTTGTGGAAGAAAGATGTGGCAGGCTGCTTCCTTGGAAACCCTATGGGAAAGTTTTTCTCTGTCCTGTGGAGTCATGGTGCTGTAGGATAGGCACTGGACTATTGAACTCAAATACACAATTCTTCTACGGTTTCCTTATTCACTGTCCAACGTTCACATGCATATTCACTGTCCAGTTTTCATATACATATGAAACTATTGAAAATATCATGGCTTGGGTCAGGTGCACCTTAGTGCTCAAACTGACATTTTTGCTGTTAAATGCTTTAACGAGGTCTTATGCATCAAATTTGCCTAATGTTATATCTGCCTAATATGTCCTTTGATTTCTTGACTGTACTTCCATGAGTGTTGAAAGTGGATCCAAGCAAAATGAAGTCTTGGACAACTTCAATCTTTTTCTCCATTTATCTTGATGTTATTTATTGGTGCAGTGGTGAGGATTTTTGTTTTCTTTACATTGAGATGCAACCCATACCAAAGCCTGTGGTCTTTGATCTTTATCAGTATTTTAAGCCCTCTTTACTTCCAGCAAGCAAAGTTGTATCATCTGCAAGAGTCTTCCTCCAATCCTCATGCCATGTTCTTCTCCATATAATCCAGCTTGTTGGATTATTTGCTCACTGTACAGATTGAATTCAATAATGGTGTAATCAAATACATACAAATAAAGTTAATTTCCCAACTATAACAAATTCATGACATATGATCTTTACTGTTATTGTGTGCCCTCAAGTCAATTCCGACTCAGTGATTCCAGTGACAGAGTAGAGCAGTTCCACAGGGTTTTCTAGGCTACAACATTTATGGGAACAGATTTCCAGCTCTTTTCTATGGTGGAGTGACCAGTGGATTTGAACCACTGACTTTTTGGTTAGAATGAAAGTTCTTAACCATTGGGTTACCAGGGCTACTTGACCTTGACATTAGTTGATGAGAGATGTTATGGACCCTAATATAAGAGTACTAGATTCTTGTACATAATGATGAAATAGAACCATAAAAGATAGAACTTAAAGAATCATGTGTGCTTATATTTGAGTATGTGTGGGTTTCATGGTTTGGAAGATTCCTTTGGTCATATTGTTGTTAGGTGCCCTTGAGTCAGTTCCTAAGGCAGCTCTGTGGAAGAGGAAAAGCAAAAACAAACTGTTGAGTTGATTCTGATTGTGTCAGAATAGAATTGAAAACCATAGGGTCTTAACAGACTGGTTTTGCAGAGGTAAAGTACCAGACCTTTATTCCAAGAAGCCTCTTAGTAGATTCAAGCCATCAATTTGATTAGTGGCCTAGCATTTAACTGTTTATGCCACCCAGGGTCACGATAAGAGCAAAGGACTAGTGGCTATTTGCTTTGGAAAGTGTAAAGGTAAGTGTGAAGTAAAGTCTGTAGCTCCTCAAATCATAATGACAGCCTCATACTCCAGACAGACTGTCAGAGAAGCACCAATGTGGTTCAGTTAATAGTCTCACTCCTCCTCACAATACAACAGTTTGCTTGTGTAAACTGTCAGATGGATGAATATTCCCACAAAACGGGCAGATTTTTACATCAACTGTGCCTGTAAGATGACAAAATAGCCAATCAATCCATCTAATAACTTAGAGAAAAAGCTGTTAAGTCAGCTACTTTGTCTTCCTGAATACAATCCCTGTCAAATGAATTGTTTTCATCTCTTTCTTCTTCCTTAGCACTTCATTCTCTTTCTGCTCAGTGTGAAGTCAGTTCAGGATCTTTACAGAAGTGTTCTCCATTGAAAGTAATGTAGAAGTCACATGGATCTTGTTTAACATGAAAACAGTTATTTAAATCTACAGTAGTTTCAACTAAGATAATAACCACCTACCTACAAGACTCCTGGTATGGTGCTATAGGGTCAGCACTCAACTGTGAACCACAAGGTCGGCAGTTCAAGCTTCTCCTTAGAAACCCTACACAGGGTCACTATGGGTCGGGACCAACTCTACGGCACTTAACAATAACAACCTACAAGACAGAGTCTATTTAAGGTATGTAGTTTACACACTTAACCATGACTAGAGAGCTCCATTTTTAATCTCCTTCTCTCTTTCTTCCAGCCAGAGATAAGTGGCTCCCTTCTGATCCTCAGATCATATCAGAAGGCCTCTATGCCATAGCTGTCGTGCTCAGTTTCTCTCGAATCGCCTACATCCTCCCTGCGAATGAGAGCTTTGGCCCCTTACAGATCTCTCTTGGAAGGACTGTAAAGGACATATTCAAGTTCATGGTCCTCTTCATTATGGTCTTTCTTGCCTTTATGATTGGCATGTTTATACTTTATTCTTACTACCTGGGGGCTAAAGTAAACGCTGCTTTTACCACGTAAGTAAAACTTATTAAAAAGGTATAATGAAGAGAAATTTGCACAAGTCTAAATGAAGCAAAGCAAAATGTACAATAATTATAAGGAATCCTGGTATGGTGCTGTAAGATAAGCACTCAACCATAAGGTTGGTTTGAAGTACAAGGCTGGTGGTTCAAACTCACCAGCCTCTCCTCAGAAACCCTATACAGGGTCTCTATGAGTCGTAACTGACTTGATGGCACTTAGCAAGAATAGTAAATAATAATGATTTTTAAAACAGAAAATTATCCATTAAAAACCATTAGCACTTGTGCATGAGTGCATGGCCTTGGAAATTAAGCTTAGTGAACATTTGACTGCAGAACAGATCAGAATTTGGAAAAATTCTAAATAAAACTGGCTGTTTTAAGAGAATCAGGTAGCAGATTTCTAATACTGGGTGTCTCTTGCATTATGTATAACATTAAATTTAGTTTCATCATTTGGTAGCCAGTCCAACTATTAAAAATAAAAGTATCAGCTTTTATTTTAATGAATTCATTAATCAGCACAGGGAATTGAGTAAGAAGAAATTATAGCTAAATGTTTAAAGCCCACTACAAAGCCTACCACCTGTCTATGAGAGTGTCGTGCTGTGTAGAATAACCACTGGATTGCTAATAGCAAGGTCAGCAGTTCAAACCCACCAGCTGATCATCTTAACCTGATATAGGGTCACTATGAGTCGAAACCAACTTACCAGTACCTTACAACAACATAAAGGTGATAGGAGTCCTTGAACGGTGCAAATAAGTAATGTGCTTGCTGCTAAACAAAAGGGTGACAGTTCAAGTCCATTAGATGTGCCTTTGGAGAAAGGCCTGGTGACCTACTGTTAAAAGATTGAAAAGATTGAAAACTCCTGTGTAACATAACACAGTTATATTCTAACACACCCGGGGTCACCATGAGTCACAGTGGACTCACTGGCAAGTGGTCACAGGTCAAAAAAGTGATACCACTGCCTTTCTTTGGTCATGCTGGTTTCCAATCTCAGAATAGCACTTGCCTTCTCCAAGAAGTCTTCCTGGGTTCAGCTTCCTCAGTGGTTGTCACTTTAAACTCCCTGAGCATGTGGACATCCAGATTGTGAGGTCCTTTCTCATTCACTGTTCTTTGGTTGTCCTGGATGCAGAATTCTCCCTCTGTGTTGGAGCCCTGAAGGAGCCCTGGTAGCATAGTAGAGCTGGACTGCTAACTGTAAGCTCAGCAGTTCGAATCTACCAGCTGCTTTGTGGGAGAAAGAAGAGGCTTTCTGCTCCCATAAAGATTTACAGCCTCAGAAACCCTATGCAAGGTTGTACCCTCCAATGCCAAGCTGGAAACAAAATAGATACTTGGCAATTTCCTGGACATCTAATTGTTTTGAAATAATTTTTTAAATAATGAATAAAGAGCAGGTTGTAGAGGTAGAAGAGCATAAAAACTCGCTTTAGTATACTGAAAGAAAAGTTGTTTGAACCCTGTGGGGGAAAGACATAGATCTGCCTCCTTCCTCCTCATAATTCCAGGATAATGCATTTTATACATTCCATTTTCTTCACTGTTTTGTTTGGGGAGGTGGTAACGTTATGTAGTGGAAAGAACATAGGCTAGACAATCAAATGCAATCTTTGCTGTTTTCTAACTATGACCTTTGGTTTCTTAGTGTTAGTTTTCTCATTTGCAAAATGAGCACACTAAGGTTTTAATGGAGGGCAATGGTTCAATGGTAGAGTTCTCCTTTCCTTGCAGGAGACCAGGTTTAAATCCCAGCCAGTGCATAGCAGCACAGCCACCACCTGTCTATCAGTGGAGACTTACAAGTGGCTATATTTCCCAAGCAAAGGAGCTCTGGTAGCGTAGTGGTTACGAATCGGGCTGCGAACCTTAAGGTCAGCGGTTCGAAACTACCAGCCGCTCTGCGGGAGAAAGATGAGGCTT